AATATTACGGGGAATGTTCGGATTTTAATCTCTTAATTTTCAGATTTTAATCTCTGGAACCTAAACCCTAAATCTTGAATTCTAATCCTTAAACCTAAACCTTATAGTTTAAAGTTTAAACCCTTAAAAATCTTAAAGCCTAAACCCCTAAATCCCTAAACCACCCTAAAACTTAAATCCTAAATCTTTAAATTTTAAAACCTAAATCACTAAGATTGCATTTGGCATTTCTTATTTTAAGGATTTATCTCCTTTTTGCTGTTAAAATGCCTCTATGAATACTGAGGTTTTTAATTGTAAAAAGGAGATAAGCCCTTAAAATAAGGACTGCCAAATGCAGCCTAAATTCCTAAATTCTAATCCTATACCTTAAATTTATTGTATAAAATGTTTTTGGTAGGAAACATTGTCCTATAACGTGTAGGAGCCAAGCATTTTCCGTAATTTAGATGGATGGACAAATATGTATGTAAAATTTTGAAGGTTCAGTCCTTAAATATTTTATGATATATTATATATTTTATTAATATTATATGTGACATATTATACAATTTATCTTACATATTATATATTATATATTATATATTACATATAATAATAAAAAGTTCAATTAATTAAATTTTTAATTCTAAAAATCAAAACCAAAAATTAAATTAACTGAACCAATTTAACCAAAAATCGGTAAACCAAACCTAAAAAATCAAAACCAAAATTTCTGATTTGGTTTTAACCGAATAGTGCTCACCCCTAATTGAAAGTATCTATTTTTTAATTTTATCATCAGTCTCGAGACTTTGGTTCTTTTCCTAGAAATGAGTACACAATCCTAACCATGCATCACCCTCTCCACATGTCCATGGAACATATATATTTCCTAAATTTTCAAGTCAGTTTGGTTTCTTCCCTCCAAATGTGGGAGTATGGTATATGAAGATCACCATCACTTGGCATGTTCCTGCAGTCCTGGATCAGCTGTTCGCAATGCCATGGGGGATTATCTTTTTGAAGAAGACTGTCAATCGAGTTCATATCTCCACCCCACAAGGGGCTGCCCCACGTCCCACAGCGCATCCCTGTCATGTATTGGGAATATGTCCCGATGATGACATCATTAGTTCTGATACTATCATCGAGATATGTTATCAATACAYGGTGGGGATGTGCTGTGGGACATTGTGGGGTGGACCCTTGTAGGGCGGAGATGTGAATTCCTGTCAATCGCCATCTTAGAGTCAGCTCCAGCACAGTTTAAGTGTCTGTTTGGGAGGATTTTTGGAACATGGCTTCTAGTGTTTCAAGTTAGGTCCCACAGAGAAATGTCAGAAGCTTTGTTTGATAAAAATTGTATCTTGGATGCAAAAAATGCCACTAAGCTATTTCATCAAAACGAGTCTGGATGAATTGGAGACAAAATTGTACACATAAGGCTGAGTTACCTCCAGCCCAGTGTTGAGTACCTATCACAGTAAGCACTGGCATGTTTACTCGTGATAGGTAGCCCCCAGCCTGGTGTATATGATGTTGTCTTCAGCTAATCCGCTCCCAATTCGAAGAAACAACAAATATTGGCCTCTTGTTCGAAAATTCGTTGGCTCATATGAGAATCTGGATCTTATAGAAACAAGACATAAATCAGGCTAAAAACACTGATCACAAGTAAACTGGTGAGAAAACATTTACATGTTTGCTTCTGACTGGTTTTCGTAGGGCATGTTTATTTTTCATGGATAATTTGGAGGTCGATGAAAAAGCCACCCATTGCCAAACCTCTAGCAATGTCATCCATAGAGAAGGGGTCAACCACCATTAATCAACCACCTTCACCAATATGTCTTCCATAATCTTCCCTTTAGACTTTGAGGGTATTTGAAACCGTAGGCATTTATTTAATAAACACTGCCATATAGGCGTCACTTCAGCAGTTTCCCTCTCATGCTCTTTCATATACATTGAGAATAGCAAAAGATGATTTTGGTTTCTGTGCACGTCTATCATTTAGGGAAATTTTTTAAAACTTCCTCAAATGGTTAGACGCTTTTTCACTATCATGCTAATGTGGTGCCTAGTGGCGCCTAATTATCATAAATAATTGTGATTATTACCTTTCTCAATTTTACAAACATTGAATAAAATACATAAACGAAACCACACATACTTTGTCTTGCCTAAGAAGCCTATTGTGTTTTGCTGTTTCAACACTATCCAAAAAATTACCATTCTGGTGCATCTCAAAAGTAATTTTCCCACCTTCCTTTGGTGAATTAAATGAAGATTTAACAAGTTCTCCATCTCAAGGGGAGGAGATCACCTGCACCTAAAAAGGAAAAAGAACCACTGCTAAATCCAATCAACAAAAGAACGGGACGCATAGGGTAGACTATCCACTTGCAAAACAAAGGAAGGAAACATCAGGAGACAACCACGAACCAAATTTAGATTAGCAATTTAAGAAAATCCATTTCTTCTAATTCTGCCTCTAGAGCTTTGTCCTCCTACGATTCCCTGTTGGAATTCCTAATGAAAACACTTTATTGGGATCATCCACCTAAAACAAGTATTTTGTTGGGAAGTTATGCATAATCCTCTCTCTATCTCTCTCTATAAGTAAATGTACAAATTACAATGATACTGCCAAGCAGCCATTTGTCCAGGCCAATAAAGCAATGCAACCCTTACAGTTACAGTTAGTTTAGCCTTCTGCTGTACTTGTACTTAAAGGGCCTACAGTCCATTTTTTTTTTTTATTTATTCATCTGCCCTATTAAGGGTAGTTTTAGGCTTCTGTACTTCATGATTAGAATTAAGGCCCTGTTTGGTTTACGGGAATAAAGGTCTGGAAAWAAAATCGGAATGGGTTATTCCGATTCCATCCGATTCCAACTGTTTGGTTAGATGGAATCGGAATCTTATTCYCATTTCTGCTGGAATGTCATTGTCATTCCCTCATTTGAGGGAATGACCATTCCCTGCCCTTCTCTTGGGAATGAAATACCACTCCTGCTGATTTTAATTTCCATTTTCATTCCTGTCTGAACCAAGTGGACTATGGGAATGGATCATTCCAATTCCAATTCCAGAAGATTTCGGCTTCGATTCCGAGTACGAACCAAACAGACCCTAAAAAGTAAATATGCAGGGGCTCGAGAGAGCTTTGATTGTTCTCTTTTCCTAACCCTTTTCTTCACTCATCTCTTCGACTCTCTTGCCCTGAATCCTTCTCTTTCTCTTTCACTATAAACTACTAATTTTTCATTAATTTTTGCTGTTTTTTTCTTCTTGGTATCACTTGTTCTCTCTTTTTTTTCTCCTTTCTACTCCATACACACTAGGATCAATAGTGTGTACTTGGAGAAGTGAGGTGCTGATTTCCATCCATCATTGCCGCCCAATTGGTAAAAGATTTTGAAAACCTTTGAATGTTTTTTGGAGGAGTTACCTTAATTGGTCCTTGCATCAATTTGATGTTAAAAATTCGTTCTTGAATGGGGATCTGTATGAAAGGGTTTATATGTCTCTCCCTCATTGGATGTATGATAAGGAGATGCAAGGTAAAGTGTGTAAACTGAATAAATCTCTCTATGAGTTCAAACAGTCACACCAAGCTTGGTTTGAGAGGATCCATAATGATCCATAATGCACTCATCAGATTTTGTTACATTTATACTCAGATCATACTCTTTTTGTGAAGACGAGAGACACTTGGGTAACTATACTTATTGTTTATGTGGATCATATTGTAGTGATTGATGATRATTTGCAGAAAATTGTCAAACACAAAAACTTCCTTAGCACAAAGTTGAGTTCTCTCCTCTCATTTTTTGGGAATTGATGTTGCTTGCTCAAGGATGATATTTTTATTTGCTAGCTGAAACTATGATGTTAAATCTGTCTTCACTCCTATAGACTTGAATCATAAGCTCTCTGTCACTGATGGTGAGTTATTAGATGACAAGGGACTGTTCTAGAAATGTGGCCCAAGAGTTCCTATACAATAAGTGTGATTAGCTAGTTTATACATGCTCCTAGATACTCATTTGGCTACCATAGAAAAGATCTTATTATGCTTGAAGGAGGTACTAGGAAAGGAAACCCTATTTTTCTAATCATAAGCATAAGAGGTTAATAGCTTACACAAATGCTAGCAGGGGAAGTTGTATTAATAATGAATGAATGAATAGCATTTTCAAAGCTAGGCACAAAAAGAAGCAAAATGCACAAATTTCAAAAAGGCACATGCCTGGGCTGAGCACAAGGAACACCAAGGACACACCTAAGCGCACTAGGTGTGCCTTTGAAACCACAGCTCCTAACATTTGTGTTTTTAAGGGAGATGTGTTATGTGTTTATACAGGTATTGACAACACTTATTAAATGGGTCAAATAGGCATTTTCCAACTTCCCACAATGAAATTCAATTTTAACCAAAATAACTGAATAAGAAATTCAGTTTGGTTATTTCGGTATTTCCTTAATCCGGGTCCAGTTTCGGCTTTCCCTCTTAGAATTTCGGTTAATTTGGTTACTCCTAATCATCTGTTCTTCCTTGCTCTGAAACTTTCTTCTTCTCTTTCACCCTTAAACTATTAATTTTTCCTTAGTTTTTGCCATTTTTTCTTTTAGTCCCCAAGGATATTATCTGTCATATTGAAAAATATTATCAGGCTATAAGAGTCACATTATAACTCATTATTTCAGTTTCAAAATTTAAGTAGGTCCTGTCCTAGGCTCCTTAATGATTATGAACCCTTTCAGTGTCTTTGCATGCTTCAGCAGGACAAAACAAACATGCTAATAGTGGAATATTTAAGCATCAGCCAATCAGCCACTTAGGCTGTTATCAAATGGCCACTTAGCTGATGTATCTGCTACACCATTATCTGATCTTGGTATCCAAGACATACTGATGATCATTCCAATTGAAACTACCGCTCTTCTCTCTCTCATTCTCTAAGAAAAGGTATCTCTGTGCATATATCATTTTTTTTATAAATAAAGTTAAAATTTCATTGATATCAGAAAAAAATAGTAACTGTTACAAGCATCCCAAAGAGAGGTGAGAGGTGCAGTCTCACACTTAAAAAAAACAGCAAGAGATTTACAACTGTGTCCAAAACAACTGATCCCTCATTACCCTTTGCTAGGCTAAAGAGTCGGTCAAAATATTAGCTTCCCTCCCCACCCATATATAACCAGATTCATATGTTTTTTTGATATCTTTCAAAGAGCTACACAACGAGGGGTAGCCCATCCCCCATGTCCCATCCAATACCCCCCCCAAGTGCAGACGGGATTTGATCCCAAGTTTCAACTACGACTAGCAGGAGACCTAACCAACCAGCTGGTTGGTACGTTGCATATGTTGCGTTAGCCATTTGAATTTCTTCATTTCATCTCTATAGCACCATATCACTGAATCCGGATTCTTTATCCAGTCCACCACCACCTTGGAGTGCCCTTCTATCACCAGATTCTTTATCCACCCCTTCTGTGCATATATCCTATTAAGACAAAAGAGAAARTCTACATCAGATATACACAATTATACACACACACAAAAAAAAAAAAGATGGAAGACAGCTATCCTCAAATTTTAAGTAGAGGATGCAACTTTCTCCTCATAAGTATACCATATAGATTGCACCAGCATAGCCACCTTTAAATAATCATATTTTTGTGCAGTGAGGCTGTTCATTGATCACTTGTTTCTCTGGTGTATTATTGCCTTTTTTAGGAACACAAGTCCGAGAGCAGCCACTTTGTACCCAAAAGAAAAATGCCATATCTGTATCCAGTCCACTGCTCTCAAGACCCCTGATAGCTGGGACCAACTGACTAACATTGGGTAATGGATTTTGTTAAAAAAAGTAAGCTCAAGCAAAATACAGCACGAGAGTTCCAAATTATATTACCAATAAGTAAGAAAAGAATCAAGGACTTCATAATTAGAAATTGTGTTCCACCCTCTCTACATTCACTACACATCCCCATGAACAGGTAAAATTGACAGCAATAACCACAACAAACCAAATATTCATCACCCCACACACACCTTGGGGGTAAACTAGGGTCTGGGGTTGAGGTGTATTTTATTTTATTTTGAAATCTTCTGAAGGGCTACACAACAGGGGGTAGCCCCCCCAACCCAGGTGCAGGCAGGATTCAATCCCAAGTCTCCACTACGACCAGCAGGAGACCTTACCAACCAACTGGTTGGCACCTTGCTTCATAATTTAGAGAAAAGGATCAGCTACATGCTGCTTTTGTTCAATCCTGCTAACCTTATTTTGGGTGGTAGGAAGTAACCACTTTATCATCAAAAATATTTCTTTTACTATTCCATATCGGAAAGGAAGAAAAAATTATTTCTCATTGACAGTGAAAACAATTTGTGGTTAACATATCAAGTATATTGTTTTTTGAAGAAGAAAAAATGCATTACCATGAAATGCCTATGTTTTCTTGATAAAAATAGAAAAACCAGAACGAGAAGGAAGAGTAAGAGAGAAGAGAGAGGAGAAAAGAGCAAATATCAAATCTAATTGACCATTAAACTACCTTGGTTTGCCATTGGGAGATAATCCTCAGAGAGATGAATTTTGGGTTTCGGTTGTGGAGAAGTTTGAAAAGAGATTTGCGAATTGGAAGAAAAACTATTTGTCTCTTGGAGGGAGAATTACTTTAATTAGGTTCACATTAGCTAACCTTCATTCTATTTTTTGTCAGTCTTTACGATTCTGGTTAGGGTGGCTAGTAGGCTGGAAAAACTTATGAGAGATTTTCTATGGGAGCTAGGGGAGGAGAAGGACCATAGGGTTAGGTCGGAGGTGGTGTGTAGGAACATAAGGAATTTAGCATTACTAGGGAAATAGTTATGGAGATTTGGGAATTGGGAACATAAGGAATAGGAATTAGGTTGTATTTAGCATTACTAGGGAAATGGTTATGGAGATTTTCAGTGGAGAAAGAAAAACTTTGGGTTAAAATAGWGGGAAGTATTCATGGGGTGGCAAACAATGGATGGGACTGGGATTCTAGCAAGGACTACAAGAGCATCTCCCTGGAAAGCTATTCAAGCTACTTTGCCCGTGTTCTCTCCTTGGATAAGGTATGACTTGCACTTAGGCAACCTAATTAAATTCTGGGAACATGTTTGGCTTGGGGATTCCCCTTTGAAAGATCAATTTCCAACTATTTTTGCTATCTCTACCCTTAAAAATGAACCAATCTCCTCCTTCCTTGTACCTTCCAAYTCACCTTTAGGAATCGGTTGGAACCTGGGTTTGAGAAGAGAGATCAAGGACATAGAATTAGGTTGTATTTCAGCCTTATTATCCATCCTTAAAAGGGATTTTCCTAGAGCCAACAAAGGAAGACAATAGAATTTGGACACTCACTCCCTCGGGTTCCTACACCTGTGCCTCTTTCTTCAACGCCCTGTTACAACATTCTTTTGTTGGACTGTCATTTCCTATTAAAGAGGTGTGGTGTCAACCTATACCTCCAAAGGTTGGGAGTTTCTGTTGGGAAGCCTTTTTGGAAAGAGTTAATACAAGAGATTTACTTCAAAGAAAAAGACCCAACAGTTGTTTGTCTCCTCATTGGTGTGTCCTCTGTAAATTTGATGGTGAGTCTGGATACCATTTACTAATTTCCTGTCAGTTTGCAAAAAACATTTGGGAATAGTTTACTTCTTTGTTTGGGTGCAGGTGAACTCCCCCTTTGAATGTGCAAAGTTTATTCACTTCCATGCCCAACTAAATAACAAAAAAGGCAAAGCTCATGTGGAGATGTGTAAGGACTGCAGTTTGTTGGACTGCTTGGGAGGAGAGAAATTCATGGATTTTTCTAGATAAAGAGAGAAGCTTGGAAGTAATATTGGAGATTATTCACATTAGGGTGATACGTTGGTTAAAAACTTTGGAATTGTTTGTTGATTTCTCAGTTGATGAGATGCTAAGGAATTTGAAGGAAATTGTCGAATCAACTTCAGCTAAGAAAGCTTCAAGTTCTTGTTGGACCCCTACACCAAGCGGCTTTATCAAACTGAACTTTGATGGCAGTAGTTTGAGCAATCCAAGGCCCTCCGGAATAGGGGGAGTGATAAGAGATGAAAAAGGGAATCTGTTAACTATGTGTTCTGGTCCAATTGGGGTGGGAGACTCCTTGAGGACTGAGATACTAGGAGCTCTTGAAGGGGTACAAAGGGTCAAAGGCATGCATATTAAGAAATTGATCATAGAAGGTGATTCTGAAGTTGTAGTGAACTGGCTAAAAGAGGACAATTCCAAGCTCTAGAACTACAACAATGAAAAGAGGAAATTTAAGTGGCTGAGCAAGGATATGGAAGTTAGTTGTACATGGGTAAAGAGAAGTACAAACTCATTGGCAGATGGTTTAGGTAGGCAAGGAGTGAATAGAAACTCTATTTTTTGGGTTGTATTGTAMTTGTTTTACGGTTTGGGTATACATTGATGTATTAGGGAGTTAAAATTTTTTAGCTCCTTAACTATGTACTTTCTCAATCTTTAATAAAATTCACTGTTATTGATAAAAAAAATGAGCTGAAAGAAGCCAAGGATTTCAACCAATGGATAGTCCTGGTTAAGATACATTCCTTCACTTCTGTAAAGGACCTCTCTTTATCTTGGAAAATTCTAGCGTTTCTTTCTCCCAAATTGTCCATAAAGTGGCTGCTCTAAAACATCTCCACATACTCCTCCCGCTTTTTGTTAGGCAAGCAAAGGTAATTGGTGAGAATAATGATTTTACTTCTACTGGTTGGTTCCACCTACATCCAAACAAAACAAACATCCAATTCCAAAGAGCTACAACAAAGGAACAAGAAACCAATAAGCGGTAACAGTCATCACTATAAGAATTGCACAGTACACACCAGTTTGGGGACAAACAAATAAAATGTTTTTTTTTTCATTTGTAAGTTTTCCAAAGTAATAATCTTACCAATGTACACTTCCCAACAGAAAACAACAATTTTGGGGGGCACAGGCTTTGTCCAAACTTCTTTCACTGGGAAAGGGTCAAAAAAAGTACTCAAAGAAAGGGATTTGAARAAGGATGCACAAATGAAAGAACCTTTTGGGATAGGAATCCACACCCTTTTATCAGGAGAAAAGAGATCCAAGCAAACACTCTCTAGAATGGATAGAAGTTCAGTAACACAAGCAAGCTCCTCCTCCCTTAAGCCCCTACAAAAACCAAAGTCCCAGTTCAAGGATAAAGGTAAAATTGGAGGGGGAAGAAAGACGAAGATAACCTCCTTTTTATAAAGGGAAATGGCATATAGAGAAGGAAATAGGTCTTCTAGAGGTTGATTACCCACCCAAGTGTCTTCCCAAAAAAGAACCAAGTGTCTTCCCAAAAAAGAACCAAATTTCCGGAACAAGTATCATACCTTACAAATTGAAGGAATTTGGGGAGGACGCCATGTATTGCCTTCCACGATGTCGTTTGGGTAGCCCGATGAGATGCCCAACATCCCAACCAGAGACAGAACGGTCATGAATACAGAAGAAAAACAACCTTTTGAAAAGAAAGGACTGTTCAAAAGTTGTAGAAAATCAAAAGAAAGTAGTAGAAATCAGGTTTCAAGAAGAGAGGAGAAGAAGAAGAAGGTGGCGGCAAATTGGATTAAGAGAGAGATTTTCAAACATAACCATCCCTCTTACACCCCTAAATTCTATTTCATTAAGTTAAACTTTAATAATTTACAGAGAGGTCCCTAGTTGGGCAGAAAAATAAAAAACATAACACAAGAAAGAATAAAGCCCAGATTAAGGCCTATTACAGCAAAGAACATAAAAAATAAAAAAGGATAAACAGCCTATGGGCCATTCGGCCCATCTTCTCTACACTCCCATTCAAGCTAAGCATACATGTCAATCATGCCAAGCTTGTCAGTATCATGCTGAAGTTTAGCCTTGGGAATGCCTTGGTGAGGAAATCAGCTAACTGTCCTTCARAAGTGATGAAAGGTAGACACACCTCTCAAGAAGCCACTCTTTCTCGAATGAAGTGTCTATCAATTTCAATATGTTTAGTTCTGTCATGTTGCACGGGATTATGAGCAATGTTGATGGCAACTTGATTATCACAATATAACATCATTAGCTTATCATGCTCAATACCCAGTTCCTCCATCAAGGATCTAAGCCATAGTAATTCAGAA